GAAAGTCAGTTTAGCAAGAATCTATTACCCTTGATGTACTCCCTCAGCTGAGCCCCTCATTCTGATTATTAGCTATAAATATCCAGGTATTTGCTGTTTTAATTGGAGATCCATTACTCTTTAGTGAGAAGGCCTTAATATTCTATTACAACAGTTTTAACTAAAGTGTTCTGTATTATCTTATCAAGTGTCAGGAAAATCTTTTTCTTCAACATTTCTCAGAAGCCTTCCATGATCTCCAGGCTGGGGTGAGTGCCTCTTCCCCAAATCCCAGGCTTCCCAACATCATTCACATTTTGCTACTTACCTACTCATTTGTCTTCCCTGTGGTTCTGAGGTTCCTTGATGGTAGAGGTTATGTAATACTCATACTTCTTTTTGCATATTGGAATTTTTACCAGCTAGCCCAGTTGCCAAATCCCAGTACCTATCTTTAAAAAAAAAAAAGATCAATCGCTTGTGTGGTGGTTTGAATAAAAATGGCTCTCAAAAGCTCATAGGGAGTGGCACTATTTGAAAAGATTAGGTGTGTGGTCTTGTTGGAAGAAGTGTGTCATTGGGGAGTGGCTTTTAGGTTTCAAAAGCCCAAGTGAGGCCCAGAGTCACTCTCTCTTCCTGCTTCTTGTGGACTCTCAGCTACTTCTCCATCACCAATTCTGCCTGTGTGCCACCATACTTCCCACCATGATGACAGTGGACTAAACCTCTGAAATTGTGAACAAGTCCTAATTAAATGCTTTCCATGGTCATGGTGTCTCTTCACAGCAACAGAACACTGAATAAGACAACTTACTTACATGGAGGTTTACTGTAGTATCTGGTGAATGCCAGCACTGATGGTAGAGTTCCACAAATGTTTGGAAACAAGCTTATTGTCAAAGGCCTGAAGAGAGCACATGTACCAGCAGCCTCAGCATTGCATAGGGTTGTTGAAATACAGGCCCTTGGGGTTTACTGAATAAATATAATGTTGATGAGAACCTCAATGTGATTCCTATGTACAGGAAGGTTTAAGGAATACTAGTCGGGGGTGAAAGACAAGATCAATTCCCAATGGCTAGGCTTATTCTACTTATTAAGATTTTATAATCTTGTGTTTATCTCAAGCTCTAGGATTGAGGAATGGACCAGGGAGACACAGAGGTTGGGGATTGATTGTCAGGGCTCCAAATTAGCTTTTCTGAGCATTTGTTTCCTTATCTTTACAATGGAGAATTCCTGCTTTATGCTTTTAATGTAGATATGATAAAAACATGTCCGTCGCTCAGCTTACTTGATCTCCCCTGCTTCACGACCCCAGACTTCCCATTGTGTGAAGCAGTTCCATGAAAAACTTAGAATTCAATAAACATCCACCCCCACACATGAAGCACTTCAACAACCACTGTCATTGTCTGGTAGTAAAGCAACTAAATTAGTTGCTTTCCTATGGGGAAATTCTTTCCCAGAACTGATGGCATTCTTTTACCTTGGAAATTAAGGTGCCTATTGAGACCATCTGAATATGTTGGAACAAATCAATGACCAAATCCACAATCAGAAGCCCATTACCTCCTTTCAGAAACCATCAGTCATTCTTATAAACAAAAAAATTGCTTACTGAGAATGGTTTTTGTTTAGTGAATGAAAACAAAGCCCATGGTATCTCCAATATCAGATCCTGTGGGCCTGGAACCTCCAAGATTCTCAATATAATTGTGAAATTTAATAAATATTAGTGGCATTAAACTGAAAAATGGAATCTTAAGATTACCAAGTAACAAGAACATAGCATGTTACCATGAACTACATGCAGGTGTGACCATGGAAAACCAAAAAGCTATCTGCAACATCGCATGAAAGGGTATGTAGTAGTGCAAAGACAGGGGTTTTTGAAACCAGTCAGATTTTGTCCTAATCCCAATGTGGTTATTATTTTCTATGGGATCTTGGGAAAAACATGTAAATTTTCTAAGATATATCTCTAACAGCTAAGTAAAAGGGATCATAATATAGTATGGCTGTCAAGATCCAGCAGTGCCAACTACAATTGAAGTTTGGAGACAATAACATGGGTATCATGTTTTTCTACCAATATAGAACTCCCCAAAGGCCTGGTAACAAGAAACAGCCTTAACTTAAGATAGGAGCATCTTTGAGAGGAAAAGTATTAATACAGTTCTGGGAGACCTGCTCCCACTTTTTCCCCAGGGTACTCTTGAGGAGGGAGAAGTGAGAAATATTTAGATAAGAGAGAGACAGATGAAAACACAGGATAGCTCAGGAGGGCCTGGATCCTTACCTACCAGCCCCTTCTGTCTTTTCTAAAGGGCTTTTTAAAGGAATGCCAACGGGTGGAGCAAAAGACCTCCCCATAGCTTAACTAAGTGTAGACCCTTCCAATCACCTAGAAACCATACACATGATCAAGCAATCCTCTAGTGCAGCTCTGCTGGGTAAAGGAAGCTCAGGTTTCACTGGGAAACCTTTGTAGGACTCCACACACAGTACCTGTCATTTCACATAGAGCGCTAACAATCTATTTGTCACCTCAATCAATATATGCTTTATAAGTCAGCTCAACATATTTACTGATATTACTTTGAAGTAGCTTGCTGGGTTGGGGCTCAAAGTGGAATTTAAAATTCCATACTTTTACCTGAGTTGCTTAGCATTCACAGAGTCAGTTTCTGTCCCCTAAGGTTGAACCCAATTGTTTGCATATGATCACAGACTGACCATGTCGAGTTTACATGAGTTTTAGGAGGTCCATGGGTATATCTAGCTTTGGAGAATAGTAGAGTGTATGCTGTTCAGGCTTTGTGTTACTAGACGAATATTGAAGGAGGAAGGTTAATAATTTTCCCTAGCAGATTCAAATCTCAACCCCCTTTTCCCAGTTATTTATTTAGCTGCTTTTTTATTGAGGGAGGCAAGAGCAGTATTGTAGGTTATGTGGTTTTGGATTAAATAAATGGGTAGGATTGATTTTCAAATCTGGCTTTGTGATATCTAGATCCTTGGAATTGAGGGGAAGTTATTTGAGTACACTCTGTCTCCTCACTGATAATCAGCAATGCCCACTTTGAGGCTTTGCTCCAATTGCTCAATGAGCTAATATATGCTAAAGGCTCTTGCACACAGTGGCTTATTATTTAAAAGCAATTCTCCTGGACACTGAGCATTATGGAGCTAATGAGAGAACCTGCCCTTCCTATCAAATGAAAGCCAAGACAGTATTGGCATGACATGAGCACGACCCATTCCAAAGTTTGTTTGATCCCAGGAAGCTGATACAAAGGAATCACCATCCCTGGCAATTACCTTGGCTCAAGTGGCTATGTTCCCCACATATGGGCCTGTGCCACATAAGTGGCACCTCCTGAGGTACCTGCTGGGGACTCATGCTGTTGGTTCCACATACATCAGCTTCAACTAGCTGCCAACTTTTGGGCTGAATTTGGTTGAGTTAGATAACTTTTGAGTTCTATTTTTAAATGGTACTAAATGACAGTGTCAGATAGCCATATTTGAGGAAATACCATTTCTCATGATGGTATGGAGTGTCAGCTTCTGGCTTCAATAGATTCTATGTACATGCAGTTTCATCACATTCCAGTTTATGGGTATTATATCAAAGTAATTTGTATCTTCTTTCATTCTCAGGAGTGACCCTGCTTGGCTCCAAATTATATAGTCATTGGATATTCCTATAAGCATGCAAATGAAAACAAGGTGTCTGGGCTTGATTCTTGTGCCAGAATTAATGTTTAAAGAAAAGCTTTAGGGAATTAACAGTGTTACCAACTAATAATGTTCAGCTTGGCTCAAGTAGCTGAAAATGATTAGTGCAAATCAATCTATTTGTAGTTGCTAATCTGGGGGGAAGCAGAAGAATTTATGCATAACTCTGGGTGTGTGTATACATGCATGTGTGTTGGAGAGAAGGGACAAGGCAGTGAGTGCTAATGGTAAATATTTAAAAGTCAATTATGGGGCTCAGGGGAGGTCACTGAACATGGAAATTGGAGAAAGATGGACACAGTAAATTCTGTGAGACTGTGGTAGCTGGCTGTAGCATCATTACTGAATAAACTGAACTTAACATGGCTTTGAACACCTTTTTGTCATATTTTCTTTTTAAGGTGTTCATGGATTACTTTGAAAATGATAAATCCTGCATATATTCTATATATATGTAGATGCTTTCTTTATATATAATATGGTAGTTAATATTGTCAGTTTGACAGGATCTAGAATCAACTTGGAGAATCACCCAGGAGACAAACCTCTACACATGAGTCTGAGAGAGATTATCAAGATTAAGTTAATTGAAATGAGAAGTCCCACCCTAAGTGTGGGCAGCAGCATCCCATTGGATGGAGTCCCTGACTGAAGAAAAAGGAAAAAGCAAGTTGAGTGCTGACACTCATTTCTCTTTGCTTCCTGACTATAGGCACAATGTGATCAATGGCTTCCAGTTCTTGCTGCCATACCTTCCCTACCATGATGAGCTGGATTCTCAAACTCTGAACCAAAATAAACCCTACTGTCAGATATTTTGTCACAGTAACAAGAGAATAAAAACACAAACTATCTGTATCTGTGTGACAATTAATTCTAATTAAAATTTTCTTCATTTTGTAGTAATCTAGGGGAACCATGATTGAATACACTAAACATAGTGGTCTCATCGACTGGACTATTGTGGGGCTCCACATGAAAAAACAGCCCTAAGGACAGGATATTCAATTTGCTATTGATCCCACAATTTGCATACTTAGAATAAAAATACCTGGCTACAGTGGTGAGGCAGATGCAAAATGAACTTTTGAAAATGAGCTGAGGGTTAGAGGAGAAAGTGAGATCTAACCTTGAACAGGGGTGTGTGTGTGTGTGACATTTCAAACAATGAGAAAGATGAGATGGAATAACAGAGAGTGTGAGGTGCTGTGCATGGAATTGACTTTGCACTCTAGTCCAAGTGTGTCATGTGGTTTCTTAAAAGAGTGGGAGGGAGATGAGGAAGAAACAGTCTGTACTTTCGTTTATTGAATGCAGCTTTCGCTGGTCACATGGCAACTCAATACAAACAGCCCAGCAGTGGGTAGGCCATTAACTCTTGTTCTCATCAATGTAAACACAACATTAATAGTGAAGAATAAAGAAAATGTGTAAAAAGTTCAGTGTTTTCTCCATCTGCAAAATGAAGAGGTGCTTACCAACCCCAGAACAAGTCCTGAGGGGAAACTAAGGTCACCAACTCCCCTGTTTCCAACAGGGAGGTGCCTGACCCCTTTCTTCTAGTGGCTTCCATGTGGTCACATGAGTCTTCAGATTGGGCTTCTGTGAACTGTTCAAGTTCTTCTAAAGGCCTGAGAGGGGAATCATAGCTTTTATGAGGACTGAAGTAGTTCCTTGAAACCCTTTCATTGTGACTTGGTCACTGTCCATAGAAGATGTGACTTGCATATGGTGTTTGGCCTTCTGTGTCCATAGTCTCTGTCATAGTCCTGGATCTGGAGAGTGGGAACTCAGTATCAGGAGGTCTCTGTGTTCATCATGAAGGAAGCTCCCATATATGAACATTCTCTGAGGATGCTCATCTTTGCTGGGCCACTGCTGACTGAGGGATGTTGGTTGAGGGAGCTGATTTTTCTCTTAGAGCTTTAAGGATTAGATATTTTTTTAAGTTTGGAATCCTAGATCAAAATGAATAAAACCCCCCAAATTCAAACAACTCAAAATAAAACAAGAAAGACTTCGAGAATAAAGAACCAATTCACCCTACTTCCAGGTCCCTGCATATGTGATGTCCCCATGCAGGTCTCCAGATGGTTGTTTGGGTCCTTGGATTGCTCTCCACTTGGGTACCTAGCTAAGTGGCAGGAGAAATAAAATTCTCTTCCTATGAAGAAATAGCTTGCTCTCATTTCTTGGAGTGATTAACCCCTAGAACAGCACCCATGTCCTATTCTTTTTCCAGAGCTAGGATCTGAACCATAATTATTAAAAAGCAGGGAGAGCATCCAGAAACCCTGACTTGGTCTGTGGCTTTGTGGTAATTTGATAACTCTTCATTTGCTTCCATCCTTCTGGAAGCACCTCATGGTGGTGGGCTGGGTCCCTGTCCAAGATCTCAGACAAGAGCAGCTTTGTGGGGCCAAAGAGATAAAGGGAAACAAACCAAAGAAAAGCAGTGATGCATTTTGTCTTCAAAGGCTGGGCCCCAGGCAGCAAGTAGTTCTTCCCCTGTAGCATGTCTCTCCCTAGTAGTGGCCTTCAAAGTGCTAGCTGTTGTTCTCAGCCGTGAGATATTTCAGGGCAGCAAAGCCATAGCGTCGGGACATGTCCTGTTGAAACTCTTCCTTCAGGGTTTTGAGACAGATGCGGTATTGCTTGTTGGAACGGAACTTAGTGATGTCGAAACTGGGGGCATGGGGCATGTGGATCATGTAGGCATTGGGTAACACGGTGAACTCATACTCCTGGAAGGAGGAAGACAAGGGTAATGAGAGATCTTGCAAGAGCCTTGGGTCATGTATGACTCTGAATAAAGGGATTGGAGAATAACACTAGGAGGGGGGCACAATAACTCCACAGTAGCTTGCTTCAAGATTATGTCCATAAACTTGTACAAAATATAGGATTCATCTGAATTTTGGTTTGCTCATCTACAAAGTGCGAGTGAGAAAATCTATCTTGAAGGATGATTATAAGGGTGAAACTCATACTTAATGGATAAAGGGGAAGAGAACACATGCCTGCCCTGAGGTTCTCCAGACACCCCACAGTAAATCTGGAATGATGCTACCATACAATAATCTTTTGGCCAATGAACTGAAATCTGAGGAAATGTTTAAGCTCAGTGTGGTGGCTCATGTCTGTACTTGGGAAGTACTCATCCAGTACTTATGAAACCTACATGAGAAGACTGCCATGGATTTTCAGGCCAACCTGGTTTTCATACCAAGTTCCAGACCAGCCTAAGCCACAGTGTAAGATCCTGTCTTAAATAGACAGATGAATAATTAAATAAAAAATATCCACATAAAAGACCAAAGTGTTTAGCTGTATTGAAGCTTAACAAGGATAAAACTTTCCCCAACGTCTTGTAAGTGATGGCATCATAGACTATGCTTTACATGGTAGGAGACAGCCAAATACACAATGCCTCTGAACAGCCCAAACAAGGGACACAAATTTAGGACATGTAACTCAGACAGAACCTAGCACATGCACAATCCATATCTTCTCTTCAATTTTGGATTCATGTCATCTAATTACTTAGCACACAGCAGACAAGAATAAACTCAGCAAGGCAAACCAAGGACAGGAAAGGCAGATGTATCAGGTAGAGGATGGCAACTGACAGTTAAGTGAGAAAAATCAGAAGAAAATGCAAGGCCACAGAGCCCAGATACCTGAGGCATTTCACGCAGGGGCAAAGTGGGCTACCCCTCCTGCCAGCCCCTACAGCTGGGGCTCTGTGACCTGTCAGCTGTAAGTGTTTCACTTTTTTAAGTCATTGGAATGGGTAAAATAGTGTCTGATGAGTGCTACAGGCAAATACAGGACATGGGTACCAATAGGTGGATATCATACTTTGTTTGGTTCAACATGGACACTATTCCACAACCTTCTACTGACATCAGTGGTTCTCAGTTACCTGGCATGGCTCAGACTCAATGGAACATGTGTTTGTCTCATGGATAGTCATTACTGAACATCTAATGTAACTTAATGTTCCCTGATTTTGAGGTACTCTTGCTGAGAAATATTTACACTGTGACCAAAAGGAGGAGCCCTGAAAAGTGTATGAAGAGTGGGGTTCAGGGTACCCAGGTATCTTCCTAACTTAACCAGAGCAGCTTTGCATCTCTTTATTCAACACAAGGGTTGACAGACTACAGCCTGTCTGGTTTGCTGCATAGTTGTATACATGAAGCTGTGCTGAAACCCAGCCATGCACATTTTTTTTAGAGGCCATCTATGGAGGAATAACAGTTTCTGAGCTGAGCAGGTGGAAGGGAGATTTGAAGGTCCCACAAGCTCCACACACCATTTGGTCCTTTGCAGAAAGTGTGCAGTACCCAGGCTTCATCTATTAAAATTCTGCAGACCTCCTTTGAAGTATATATTTGTTAAGTATTGTGTGAATGAATGAAGGCTTTCAGACTGACCACAGGCTAAAAATCACTGTTGTTTAAACTAAAGAGTGAAATAATTAGCCACATTTTAGTGGCAGGTTTTGTGCTATTTACAGTGACATAATATATATAATTTGGAGGCCAAGTCATGACTAGTTATTCTGTGCTTGTCTTCCTCACTGGATAGAAGGGGTAAGATGATAAATTATAGGAGACTCACATTTGCCTAATCCTGGCCAGGAACCCAATTCTCATGTACAGGGAGAAGGAAGAACAAAAGTTTGAGGTTGAAAGCCTAGAAAATCAGATTCATGTTCTCATTCTAAGTCCCTGAACACATTCTGTTCCTCTGAAGGTCCTTTTTAATCTTCTTATCTCTAAAGTTCTCTTTCAGTTCTAATATCTGTATCTTTCTTCTTTTCCACATAGTATCAGTCAGGTGTTCTGTTCTTACTTGTGCATCCAATTCCATGATGTGAGCCACTTTGTTCCAGCCGAAGCCCACAAATCTCCGATCGTACTCAGGGCAGTCTCGTCTCACAACAACATACGGCTCAAAATCAGCCTCCCACTCAACCTGGTAAGGCATGGTGGCAGTCCGCCACTTGGCAAAGTTTGTGGGTGCGTGGCCTTTAGTCCAGACATGGTACCTGAGAAATGTGGAGAAAAACCAATGAGTGAAGGGATGGAAGCTGAGATTTCCCAACCCCAGTGATGTGGAGGAAGAAGAAATGAATTTTGGTATGGTGTTCCTGGTGGAACTGTGTCCCTGCAAAACCCTTATTCAAGTACAAACCTTTAGTGGCTGTAAATGTGACCTGGTAGGAAACAGGACCTTTATAGGCAAACTTAAGTCAAAATTAGGTTGGAACTTATTCTGATGTCCTTTTATGAGAGAGATATTTGGACACATAGATACACAGTGAGACTAACATGAGTAGATACAGATAGAGCTTAGAATGACAAATCCATCAAGAAACAAGGAATATCAAGGATTGATGGCACTAACTAGCAAAAGCGCAGAAAGGAACAATGAAGGTGTCTTTTCTAGAGCTTTTGGAAAACCTAGACCTATAAGGAACTTTAATTTGGACTTCTGACTTGCAAAATCGTTAAATAATAATCAACTGTTTTGTTAAGCCACCAATTTTGTAGTATTTTGTTACAGAAGCCCCAGGAAACTAATGCAGTTTCTCAGAGTTATCTGTCACAAAAGAGAAGACTCCATAGAAAAGCCAGTGAACTTCCATGCACTTGGCATCATTTCGATAGAATCTACATCTGGTAATTCCCACCAGGGACCACTGGTGATCCAGTGATCCTGTTCCATCCTCAATAATGGGGCAGAATCTATGAGTAGGATACCCTTATGGGTATATTATATTATGTGGAAAGAGTGGATTTTTATAGATACGAAGATTTTTAAGCAGGTGCCTCTGTATTAATGAAAACTGAGATTACTAAGTCGGTCTGATATGACTTATGATCCTTCAGATCTGGGAGGAAGGAAAGAATCATATTGTGAGCTGTTTATGAAGTCAAGGTGCAAACTGCAAGGAGCCAGGAGATAATGGGAATACATGTCCAAAAGCTAGTAGGATGAAGATCTCTCCCTGTGGTAACAAGGGAAGAAACCCTATCAGCATCCAGCCAACAGGAAGAGATCATGTGGCACTGGCGGAGACCTGTATTGCTTCAGACATCTGCTTTCCATCCAGTGATACCCTAGGCAGAGAGCTGGTTACCCTTTACAAGCTGACAGAGACAGTGAAGTTGTGAGTCTGCATTTCTTTACAATGTTGTGTTTGTGGTAATTTGTTAATATGGCAGTGAGAAATGAATGACTGCACAACAATCAGAAAATTTTATTTGTTAGACATTTACTATGGGTTGGGACTATTTTAAATGTTGTAGATGCATATTGTTTTAAATTCTAAAAATGTATCCAATGCTGGGTTGCAAACAGCAATAAAGCCCAGGTAGCCTAGCCCAAAGGCTAGCTTGTGTGCCACTGTCCTCAACACTCACACAAGGGTAGAAGGAGCAAGGGGTTGAGGCTGAAACCTCTTCAGATTAGGACTCTGTGCACACTCTATGTCTCGTAATGTACCACATTCCTTCTTAGGTTCCCCTTTCCCAACTCATCTCAAAAGATTTCCTGTCAGCTCTAAGATCCAAGGCTCTCTCCTCCCACATCACTAGGTTGATGCTCTATTCTCCTCTGTGCATCCAACTTCATGATGTGAGAATGGATGGAGAATCTAAAATTTGAGAGGTGTCTGAAAGATAGACTATTGAATGGGGTGGGACTTTGTCACTGCAAGTCACGGGGAAGGTGGATGCAGGGAGTGAAATGAAGCTACAGTAGGGGTAACAAAAAGGGTTAGGAAAGATGGTACCCAGGTGTACAACTTGACACAAGCTAGACTTATCAGAGAGGAAGAAGCTTCAGTTGAGGAAATGCCTCCATGATATCCAGATGTAAGGCATTTTCTCAATTAGTGATCAATGGGGGAGGGCCCAGCCATGGTGGGTGGTGCCATTCCTGGGCTTGTGGTCCTGGGTTCCATAAGAAAGCAGGCTGAGTAAGTCAGGAGAAACAAGCCATTAAGCAGCACCTCTCCATGGCATCTGTATGAGCTCCTGCCTCCTTGATCCTGCCTTGTTTGAGTTCCTGTCCTGACTTCCTTCAGTGATGAACATCAATGTTAAAGCATAAGCCAAATAGATCCTTTCCTCTCCAACTTGCTTTTTGTCATGGTGTTTTGTCACAGCAACAGAAACCCTAACTAAGACACCAGGGGTAGATGGAAAAGCTTTGTGAAATGAAAGGAAGACAGGAAGGGTGAGACCCAATAGCTTAGCTGCAGGAGAGAAGAATACAGATAAGGGATTTCTCTAGTCTCCTTAGGAACATCTCTGTAAAGCAAGAATGGCTGTGATAGCGAATGCCCCAAGGCAGATGTCCTTCCAGTGCAGGGCTGAAACTCTTCCCTAATTCTTTGTTTCATCAAAGAGGATGGACTTCTGCTAGCCTATCAAGAAGCCATGCCCAGCGGACTCAATGTGTTGCTTGGTGGGATGGACTAGCTGGAGGAAGGCAGAGACTTGAGCTTTGCTCCATCAATGTAGCAATGTTCACTAAAGCCAGATATGTGAGAGAGAAGGTGGGTGGGGGAGAGATTCTGCTACTTTAATGGAACATGGAAAGGATATTGTGAGATGTCAATTAGGTCGCAGATCTAATCTAAAAATTAGGCATGAAGCAGTTGATTTTCTATTTGAGAATTTGTTGACCAGGCAGTTTTGATATCTGGTGCCTTTGACAGAACAGACACTGCTGTGGGATGGTCTGTATGTCAAATTGCTCTGATTCAATAAATAAAACACTGATTGGCCAGTGGCTAGGCAGGAAGTATAGGCGGTTCAGTCTATACTCTGTTAGTATAGACTAACAGAGAGGAGAAAAGAAAGAACAGGAAGGCAGAAGGAGTCACTGCCAGCTGCCACCATGACAATCAGCATGTGAAGATGCCAGTAAGCCATGAGCCATGTGGCAAGGTATAGATTTATGGAAATGGATTAATTTAAGATATAAGAAAAGTAGCAAGAAGCCTGCCACTGCCATACAGTTTGTAAGCAATATAAGTCTCTGTGTTTACTTGGTTGGGTCTGAGCAGCTGTGGGACTGGCGGGTGACAAAGATTTGTCCTGACTGTGGGCAAGGCAGGAAAACTCTAGCTACAAGACACAGCATAAGTGATGACTAGGACTTTATATTAGGTTTCAAGTATAGCACATTAGGTACTCTGGACCAAGGTTCAAATCCCAATTCTGCCATGTAGGAACAGCGGACCCTGAAAAATGAAATACCTTGATAGGGCTTTAGTTTCCTCCCACGTGGGCTGGGAAAAATCATACCTATCATGATAAACTGTCCAGGAGCTTAAATGGGACAATCCTAGAAACACTGGCACAGGACTAGCATGCAGAAGGCACTCCATTAATGCTGGTACCCTGCTAGGGAGTTAAACAAAATGGTTAAAAATGATGGCTGTTGATGGCAGCTTGCCTGGGTTCACATCCTTTCATTTAGCAGCTGTGGACAGGTTAAATACTTTGTTCCTTTCTCCTGGTAAAGCAAGAGATAATAATACCAACTTTTATTATGGAGTAATTCTCATAAAGTACTCATGACAGTGTCTGACACATCCTAATAGTTAATTCTTCAAAGAGTGAGCATGGTCTCACTATTTCTCTGTTTGGCTCCTAAATATGATGTGAGTTCATAATGGTCTTGCTTTCTGTGATATCAAGAGATTTATGACCATTTCCTTTGTTATTCATCCTTAGAATCTGAACTCTTGACCTACTATACAATATGAAAAAGGGAAATAAAAGAGAAAGGGAGGCCAGGGACAGCTGAATCAATTCTGCTTATCTGGCTAGGAAAGCAGATTCTATTCACTTTGTCTGGACTGCTTACAGCATGCCAAATGGCTGAACAGAACAGAATGCAGTAAAGTTATAATCAACAACACACAGGCTCACATCACAGTTTAAAGACTGCCTGGGGAACTTTCTGTTCACTGTCAGTACAGCAGACACTAGACCACGGGGTCTAGAAATACCAGGCAACCTCAAAAGCAGTGCTGAGATGATGAGTGGGGTTTCCCAGTACACCAGAGATAAGGTTATGGGGAAGAAAGAGCTGAGCTCTCTGGGCCGTGTTCTCAAACTTGAGACATGTGAAGGACTAGTTTTAACAGCAAGGTTTATGGTCAGGATGAGGTCTGGAATTGTATTCATAACAAGGTCCCAGTAAATGTGATGCTATTGGCCCAGGGGCCATACATACTCTGAGCACCATGTTTCTGGAGGATGAAGAGTAGTTCAGGAACTTCTCATGCCAGGTATGGTGGGGAGGTTTCCTTGGAGAGCAGTTGACAAAAGCAATTTCTCAGAGAGGAGGTCTGTAATTTAGCACTTGGCATGGTGGCTTGCAAGCTATTGGCCAGAGCAGTATAATCATGGATGCAGCAGGCTAGATCCCACCTCTCATGCCCTTAAATATGACAGTGAAATGAGTTCTCACATGTTCTGGGGTTGAAGATGGCAGGTGGAAAACCTTGGAAATTTCCCAAGCATTCAGATATTGAGCTACAGTGACTGTGGGAGACTCATATAAAGATTTGGTCTCAAATCTCAATTTCCAGAACCAATTTGTGATTTTGTGTTCTTAAACAAGAACTGGCATGACAATGAAGGAGCTGTCAGCAGCCCAGTGCTTTTTCAGTTAAGAACACAAGCCTGGGAATTCCTCAGGTTGAATCCTTATTCTGCCACTTATCAGCCATGTGTCACTGAGAAGATTATTTGAACTCTCATAGGCTCAGTGTCTTCACCACAAAATAGGAATTAGTATCCACTTCATATTTGTTGTAAGGATTATGTTCATCCCAATGCCTGTTACACCAAAGCATGAATTCTCTGGTAAATAGGAAGGGATGGCTTTGGGGGATGAACTCTTCTAGGTTCCTCTCTAGAGCTCTGGATGGAAGATGAAGGCTGAATATTGAGTCCTGGATTCACTAGGAGCTCTCCACTCCCCATAAAATATGAAGATGAATAAACATGGTGCTATGGAATGGATATCCTTACTCACAATCATTTGAGAAAGCCTTTCAGAGGTTTTATAGTATCATGACAACCCAGTTGTTATGCTTAAAGTCCTTGAGCACAATTCAGGCTGCTCAAAACTGCATTTTTTTTTAATTTAGAGAAGGAGTGGTCATTTCTACATTGTATGAAATGGAGGAATGTGAAATCTTAGCAGAAACAGGGAGATGCAATGGATGTTTTCATACTGTTCTATGAAATGGAAGATATGGAAGAGATCAGCAGGATTCCTACTCCTCTAGTCCTGATTGCCACACTTATAATGTTAGAGCCTGTCCTGAGGAGATGGAGTCCATTAATATTTGTGTAGATGATTGCTGGGGCACTCTGGACATAGCATAGCTCCCTGAATGCCCATTCAGGCCTTGGGGTCTGGGAATGAGAAAACCAATGGTTTTGCTCAAAGCTATAACTGGGCAGCAGAGAAGTAGGATCTTACATCAGTTGTATGCAACTTTGGAGTCCCATAGATGACCTTAATTTTTAGGTGATGAGTTTAGATGCCTGATCCATGCCTTAACAGCTTAGAGATTAGACTACTCACATACATGTGCGCACACACACATACACACACACACAAAAAAAAAAAAGAAAGAAAGAAAGAAAGAAAGAAAGAAAGAAAAGAAAAGAAAGAAACTGCACCGGGGATCTCAGAGAGAAACCCACTTACCAAGAACATTAATGGACTGTGATGGTTTTAATTGTCAACTTGACACAAGGAGGTCTTAATGAGGGATTGTACACATTGGGTTGGCCTGTGGGATTGTCTATATGGGGATTGTCTTAATACCTTCCCTATGTGGGTGCCACCTTCTGGCAGTAGCCAGACCTGAAAAAAGGAAAGCTTTTTGCTCACCTGGCTTTCACTCTTCTGACCAATTTATCTACCCTATTGCTGCTACTATCACCAGCTCCTTCTGTGATATTAGAATAAACTTCTTCAGGATTCCAATGTGTACTTTAGAGCAAGAATCTTCTAGTACTTTGGCATAAGGTTGGTATTGCTGTGGTATCAGCCTCCTGGATTGGGCAAGTACTAGAGTCTTGGCTTCTCCAATAGAGACAGCTGTTGTTGGACCAATCTGATTGTATTGAATATAGTAATCTAATAAATTCATTCTAAATATATATTTATTTTATTAGTTCTGTTCCTCTAGAGAACACTGCCATGATACCAAAGACAGAACTCTGAGCCTAAGGGATAGTGACAAAGCCCTAAATGGAACTTGTCATTTCTTTTAAAGTATGACTTTTCTTTTAAATGTGTGACTTCTTGTTCTAGAAAAACTCTCTTTCCATCTGGACACAGTGCCTACCATCCATGTATAAAGCAAAGTAAATAACATGTCAGGGAGAGAGGGCAGACAGAGTCCCAAGGACACTGGGCTGAGCATCTCTCTTTGGTTTTATACTGGACACAATATAACACACTGACTTTTTTTGCCAACATCTTTGACATCTGGTGTCCTGGGAAAAAGGTCCCTTGGAAACCCCAGATGACTGCTGTGAGTGTCACTCACCTGAATGTGAATAGAGTCCCCATGTCCAACATTGACAGCAGCTCTGCTTTTGACTTGGGGAAAGAGAGTCGGTAGCGCAGTGTCTCAAATGCAGGGACAATCATTGCTTTCTTGGTGTTGGCAAGGTCAAGCTGGATGACAGACTTCCTGAAAGAGAGGTAGGCAGAGATATAAGGTGCCTTTGATGTCACGTCAAGTTTCTATCTTGTGAGGATGACTAATGGCCAGCCTCCATCAGACTGGCTTGTGGGTATGTCTATGGGGGCATTTTCTTAATTGATGATTGATATGGGAGGGTCCAGGTTACTGTGGGTGTTCCTATCTCTGGCCAGGTGGTCCTGGGAGGTTAAGAAGGTAGTTGGATATGAGCCTGGGAGCAAGCCAGTAAGCAGCATTCCTCCATGCCTTCCTGTTTCCAGGTTTTGGTCTTGAACTCCTGCTCTGACTTCCTTTCATAAAGAACTGTAAGCTCTAAGCTGAAGGACCTCTTCTGTCTGCTGAGTTGCTTTTGGTCACAGCAATAGAAAGCAAACTAAGACATATGGTTTATAGGAAAGAATGAGCAGCTAGCCCTTTTCCTAATGGATGGTTAGGAGCTAGGAGAAAAGATCCATGTTTTCCAATTAGACCTCTCTAGGAGTCACACTAGTCACAAATTTTCTGAAAATAGGATTCAAGCTACTTGCCAGTTTCCAGCAAAGGATTAACTATCTAATTCCAGACCCTATTTTTAAGCATTCTACTTACTCAGCACACCCCTCAAAAAAAGGATTTTTCCTCCCAAGGCCATGGGTATAGACATCTATCACAAACCTAGCTCCGTGTTCTCTTTGTGAAAATAAAATCAGGAAATCAATGTATCTTGGAGGTCTAGAAAAATGAGAAAGCACTGTTGCATTTTGACCAGAAAACACTGGTTGTGAGGGTTATCATCTGTCTGGGTCTTTCTATCTGTCTGGGTGGGTTTGACTTGAAGCTGTTGTGGGAATAACCCAATACTATCAGTGCATGTGGGGGCTGTTATGTAGGGTGCAAATAAAATCAATAGTAGTGGATTCCAGAATATGCTAGGAAGCCTGTGACCAGCACATGGGGGCAGTTACTTTTTCATTCCAGCTATATGATTACCATAGGGGAGCATGGCCATTTATTCTTCTGTTTTAAGAAGAGATAACTAACAAGGTTTTCAACAAAGTGGTCTAATACCTCCCATGGGATCTGAGTTTGAAAGGAGGCTGAACTGTGAGACAAGAATTACTTATTCTATCTGGACTCCAGCACTTCTGTAATTGCATAATCATAGGCAATTTTTTTTAGTTCTCTTGGCCTTTGTTTCTATATCTTTATAACAATTGATGCTTTATGTATATGGGTATTAAGAGGACTAAGATAACATATTCTACAACTAATACATATGAATGAAGCCAGATACATGGACATTGGGCATAGAGCTTAAATGAGCAGATATAAGCACAGAGCTCTAGAGCAGGAGGAGAAGGAAGGGAGGCAGAGAGATACAGAGGGTGAGAGGGTAGCTACAAGACAGAGTCATAAGGAATGATGCCAGACAGTCAAAGTCACAAAACAAACCCATGAAGGACAAGGTCAGACAATCAAGGTCATCTACCAGCAGGAGGTTCTCCCAAGCCCCAGCAAGATGGGTGATTTTAGCTGATGACATAACCAGAGGGAGGGCCTATCAGTTCAGTTCTTGAGAGTTCGTGAGAAAGAGCATCTAAGAATGAACTTTGGAGAGTAAATCTTAATGACAATGGACAATGATGATGATGATGATGATGATGATGATGATAGCTACAGCTTATTGACCATGAGCCTGGCTCTGCCTTGTAGCCTCTATTCTCTTAAAATCCTCAACATCTCAAATGAATGTTCATCATCTTTCAGTGTTAGCAACAATGGCTACAAATCATAGAAAGCTTGCCACATGTGGGCACTGAGTTAAAATGTGGGTTGTAGGTTACAGCAGAGTCTACCAGAAGCATAGTTCTGTTGCAGGTGCCCTGAATTCAGATTCAACCTAGACATTTACCAGCAGGTACTCTTGAGCAAACCCTGGGACCCCAAAGTTTAATAAGATCTGCACTTAGTGTGTATTCAACAGGGTTTTGTAAGAACTGAATGGGTGTCCTCAGGCAAAGGTCAATATAGCCCTCAATGCATACACCTCTATGTGCAAGCTGGGTTGATGATTATGGTCACAGTGATGAATTTGGACATGGGCCCATCAGCGTCTGGATCAATCAGCAGGCCAAACAGAGAGCACTTCTGGAAAGGCTCATAGGGTACCAGGAACACAGGTAGCAACACTGAGCCTTGAGATGGGAGATTTAGCCTGAGTACCCTCATCAGTTAAATGAATGGTGGTGCTGTTCTGCTAAAACATATACAGGGGGAATTGTAACAGTGCTTGGCACATAGGAAGTGCTCAATAAATGTTAAATATTATAGATATAGTAGAATTAAAAGGATGTATGGATCCAAGGAAATGCCTCCTAGTTAAGGTCTCTTAGCAGACACTCAACCTGATTCACTTGTTACCTCTCTTACCCCGTTCATATTTCTACACTCACTCTACTACACACCAGAGAAAATGTGAAAGAAGACAGTTATATGTCCCCTTAGAAAGAGTGGAATTACACTATTTACTCCCATATGCTACAAGGTATATAATGTCAGCCAGGATACCATGTTTGTTCCCTAGAACATAAATACAGGGAAGGCAATGGAAATAAATACCTTGCAGGCATTGATCAGCAATGGCTTGTAGTATGATCAGCAACTGAGAATTTTGCAGGTGACTAATGATGGAAACCTCTCCAGTCCCATAGTGTGAACAGTCCTGGTTGTGAAACAGTTGGGTATCTCACCCTCTATCACCTCTGCCCTTCAATCCATCAGCCATACCATCTGCTCTTGAGTCCTAGGTATCCTGACATCTTCCTGTCATTATTAGCTCCACTGACCTTTAAACCTAATCTCAGCTATCAGCTCTTTTTGAGGTCTTCTATGCCCACCCACATCTACCTAATGTACTCTCAGCTCCTACAATTCTATTTTCACACCCATTATCATACCATTAATGATAATGATAATGGTAACAACAGAGGTGGCAGCACATACAATCAGATTAAAAACCTCAAACATGCAGGGATGATGCTTACTCTGTGCTTTGTCACAGCCTGCCTACCAGATATGCACTGCATGGTCATGGGAAGAATATCCTATCACCTCTAGCCTTTCCAAGACCTCATGAGGAAGAAATAGGATTAACTTCATGTCACAGGCAAGGAATGTGAAGGTATTTAGATGCCAAGTCCAAGTAAATGTTCCCTAAGGAGGTGTGGTGGTTTGAGTGAGAAATATGCCTCACAGTCTCCGTCATTAGTCTCCAGCTGGTGGTACTGTTTGGGGGAGATTTGTGTGTATGTAACTGAGTTCAGGTTTTGAGATTAAAAGCCTCACCTACTTTCACTATGCTCTCTCTGCTTTGTGCCTGTGGTAGAGTTGAAAGCTCTTAGCTTCCTGCTTCAGTAATCATGCAGGTTACTTGCTGTTATGCCTCTCTGCCATGATGGATGCATAGCCCTTTGATACCTTAAGCCCAAACACACCCTTTCTTCTTTTGATTGTGGAACTTTATCATAGCAACAGAAAAGCAACTCATATATAAGGAGAGATGCTCCTTCAGTTAAAATGGAGTCACATCCTGATATACTCATCATACATTGAAAGCATGGTATGTGGGAAATCCATTTACTACACCTGATCTAGCTAACAACATAGCTTAGTCGCATACACATGTGGAGTGTCAGCTCACTTGTCCTCTGTGACCACACAGCTGTCTGGGAACTTCTGTCACTGTTCAGCATAGCATCAAGAGAAGATTATATGCTGATTGCTACCTGGGAAAAAGAGCAAAATTCAAAGTCTTAAGTATGGTTTCTGTGGATGCATCATTATATATCAGAGATCATTCGTCAGTTTCTCATGTCCATGAGAGAAAAGAATGAGATAGTTCCATGCAGCTACCCAACTGTCCTGAAGGTGGTGGGATATTTGCAAGGGGAGATCCTGAGGTGAAGACTGGCAAATTAGTTCCAAACTGACAGTTGTGAGCCTGCCATGGGATAGAGAATTAACTCCTGTGGAGCACCTACTATGACCAGCAGTGGGCTGTTAGTGCCCCTTCAGTAGGTAAGAAAAAGTAGTGTTGGGAAATGGAGCAAGCTGCCCCAAGTCATGTACTTGTTCAAATGCAGGTCTGTGTGGTTTTTTCCATGCCCCTTGACCTTATTTAACAGTTCTGCAATCAAGAGTGAAAACTGTGTCTCTCACAGCTGCTTTACCAGACACAGGTAAGGGCTAGAAGAGACTTTGGTGAAACTGCAGCTCTACCTATACATAGACCTGACTTCATTATTTTCCAATTAAGCTGCTGCAATGCTGAGGTTGTTTTTTTGTTTGTTTGTTTGTTTTTGTTTTTTTGTTTTTTTTAGATGAAGAAAGACCTCAAGAAGTGTGACATGAGCAGGAATTTGGGGTGCAAGGGTGACCTGGGTCTTGCTTTCCAATGAGCAGACTGTGCAGATGAAGGCCACTTTATCTTCTCTCTGATACTGTTCCTTCATTTCCCTGGTATCTAAGTTTAGTCACCTGTAGAAATGTTCAACTCAGCTGGCAGGGCTTCCAGTGTGTTGTATTTGTGGTATTACTATCTGAAGGTTAACAGAGTTTGGATAAAAACTTTTTGGATAAAAAAAAAATTGAACATTTTTTGTTCAATTTACGTGTGAAAAGTGGTTCTCTGCCAGGGTCTGCTGGCCTTCTTGGACACCATAGATATTTCAGCAAATAGCACCCTTAATCTCATCTTAAACCAGTAATAGCATATTGCTCTCCAATGTACCTTGGGTTTAAGAGAAGGCCAGCTCTCTGGAGTAATAGATGGCTGTGAACTACCATGTGGGTACTGGAAACTGAACCTGGGTCTTCTGAAGGAGCAACAAGTGCTCTTAACTGCTGAGCCATTTCTCCAGCTCCCAATTATTTGCTAATATTAAAATACATGAAAATTCATATCCTCTGGAAAAACATAAAAAGCTACTAATTCCAATCCTGTTCCAACAGAGAGGTAATTCCATACCTGGGGAGATGGTTCTTGTTTAAATAGGCCTATGGAGTCTTTTGAATAGTACCCTTCCAGGGCAAAGTCTGTAAAGAAAGTGATGGAATTTGAGGAGCAATCTGGAATATCCCAAAATTCCTGATGGGATTCATATGGTGACCCTTGAACTAAGTAAAACAGCTGGTGGTAACACATGTTGCCTAGTACTGAGTATGGTCTCCATCAGCAATTTTAAATCTTTGTCCAGTGACACATAGGAAGGAAACATAAACACCTATTCTTATGTGCTTTGTTGTAAAACATGCTGCCATCAGGTAAATTTGGGAAATGGGCCACTGAGACAAGAGTAGGGCCAGTTTACTTTCAATTTATTGTGGTTAAAGACCCCTTGGGTCTTCTTAGGAAAATCCCAGAAGGTGAAGGATAGGCAGAGCACAGTCCTCCAGCAGCTCTCTTCTCAGTCTAAGCTGAGGATGGCCCTAACTATCTAGCTATTTTTCCAGTTTGTAGCCTAGCATCTTGCTTACTGTCAAAATTCCCAAGCTGACAGGGACAAGGCAGAGCTGAGAATTTCTTCTGATTACATGGGGTGGGGTGTGCCTTGTACTACATACTAGAATTTTGTCACCCAGCTGGAGCTAGACCTGGAGAAAAATCAATGAATGAAGTCTGGCAGAGTCAGGAGCCACAGGGCTTTGCATCACAGCTCCATCCACTTCTGTTGGAAGGTTATATTGCCTGGGGTCAGCCACTCTTTGGATCCCTGATAGCTGATGGGGGCTCTTCCTTGCTTATCAGGAAGGGACTGATGTCATGCTACCTTAAACAACACCTTGTAATGGAACTCTAGTGAGCCAGAGGTTGAATAGAGAATGTAGGATGTCTTCCCTTGCTGGAGAGGGAGGGAGGGAGGGAGGAAAAAGGGAGAGGGAAGGAAAAGGGGAAGGGCAGGAGAGAAAGGGTGTGTGTGTTGATCTCTAGAGATCATACCGTGGGGCAGCCAGAAACCCCAGAGCAGTTAGGCAAGGTCTGAGAGAGGGGCCTGTCAGATACTGCTTCAAGTTCTGTGGCTCCAAGTTTTCCAGACTCAAGCCTGATATTTTGCCTCTCAAAGCCTTATTGGCCTATGATGTAACACCAGGCAGCCTCGCATGCTTTTGAGGTTTAGTATGTACATCTTAAAAGGATAAGATGTATAAACCATCTTTAGGAATATGTGGATCCCAGCAGGCACTATCTTAGACACAGAGGAAATCCATGCTGACAAATGACAGTTGGAAAAGGACCCTTTAACAATGTGGGGCCAGTTTCGAGCTGTATGGATCCTATAGTCCCTTTCAATTCATACTGTTTATGATGCTGCAATAAATGTAATTCCCTATAGAGCCACCCAGCCTTGTACTAGTGTGCTCCTTTCTGCCCTGCCATGTAGGGATAGGTGGAAAAGGACACTGGAGGAGATTCATATGGTTCTGAGATTAGGTGAACTGTGTTGTTGGCTCCCCAGCTCCCTCTGCTCTAGCTATGCAAGATAGGCCAGCATCTTTCAGTCTTGTTCTGCAGTTTCCCATTTGTAAAATGAAGACAACAATATGATTTGTGGCAAGGACTATGAGAGGAGGAAACAGAATGAGATCTTATCTGTCAATCACTTTCTGGTACACATCAAGTGCTTCAATACATGTTAGGCATCATTATTACTTAGGTTTGTTTTAAAGAGCAGGCAGTGATCTTTTGAGAATAGTTACAGGAAGCCTGTTTGCTGTAAAATTGGAAGAGAGGCAGGCTTTTTGAGCAAAAGGGATCTTTCTAGACCTAATTAACACACCACAATGGAAACTCAGGTCCAGTCTATGAATAGTATAATAGAACTTTGTATGCACCTTCCAAACCTGTAGGCAGGCCCCTGCCCCTTTTGGGGTTGCAGTTGCCTTACCTATAAAAGCTAAGTGGAAAACTAGAAAATGGTCTTTAGGATATTCAGGTCTAGCTCTTCATTATCCTATGTGGCTACCAGCCTGAAGAGTGGACAGAGTAGCCAGGTCCACTGGGGTCCTTACCTGAGGTACTCATAGAGCCCATACATGGGCAGGAAGTCAATGTCAGATAGGAACATGTAGGGTGTGCTGATGTGCTTCATAGCCACGTTGCGTAGGAGGTTGACAGGATAGAACTGACCCTCCTTGTACACAATGTGGTAGCCCACATTGTGGCGGCTCATGAGCACCTCGGATCCCTGGGCGTAGCGGAGGAACTGCTGAGCTTCGGCGTCGGACAGGTAGAGGGCCAAGCTGATGGGCCCCTCCCAGTGCTTACAGATGGCTTCTAGCATCTGGAGTCTGGAAGAGAGGGGAAGAAAGCAGCATCAGCATGCTACTTTTTTTTTTTGGTTTTTTCGAGACAGGGTTTCTCTGTGTAGTTTTGTGCCTTTCCTGGAGCTCACTTGGTAGCCCAGGCTGGCCTCGAACTCACAGCGATCCGCCTGGCTCTGCCTCCCGAGTGCTGGGATTAAAGGCGTGCGCCACCACCGCCCGGCTAGCATGCTACTTTTAAGCCTCTGTTTCTACCATGTCCTGGTCAATCAGCTGCAAATCCAAATTTTGACTCAATATGACTAAACTTCTTATCAGTAAAACAGACACAGAACACCCACCTTGTTGATTCTAGTCTTCCTCTGCTTACAGCTGATTTTGTGACATGTTTCCCATTTTAAGCTGCACATTCATCCCCACCTGCTCTAGGCTTCAGATTCATCCTCAAAGGTGCTATGGCTTGGCTGGCTTTTCCCCCAGGGTTCATGTGTTGGAAGCCAGGTCCTCTGTGCAGTATTGTTGAGACTTTTAAGAGAAGTACCTTTCTGGGGGAAGGTACCTCAGTCATGTGGGGTGCTACACTTAGAAGGGATGAGGGTAGTTTTCCTGGAATCTCAGTAATTCCTGCCAGTGTAGGAATTATTAAATTACTTAATTAAAAGTTAAAACTATTAAAAAATTACTCCCTTGGCTTCCTTTCTCACCAGAGGTCTTGCTTTCTTTTGGAAGTCCATTGCCTTTCATTTAAGAGACAGGTGAAGGTGGGCATAATGGAGCACACCTTTTATTCCAGTATTTGAGAGGCAGAGGCAAGTGGATCTCTGAGTTCAAAGCCAGTTTGGTCTACATAGTGAATTCTAGAAAAAAAAAGAGAGATACTTTGTCTCAAAAAAACCAATCCCCCCAAAAAAGAACAAGAAGAGAGAGAGAGACAGACAGATAAGACACACACACACAGAGGTTCTTGATTGCTTTTCTATGTGAAGCTGTTTTACATTTTGATTCTTTGTCATGTTTTGATAGCAAAGGGGGTCCTTTGGTTCCCAATATTCACATGCATTTCTGTTCTCCTTGTCAAACACCCAGTTCACCAGAGTCTGAACAGGCTCCTGCATTTTGGATTTACAGCTTCTAATATTGTGAAGTAAATGGATTTCTTTTCTTTGTAAGTACTTAGCCTCAAGTATTTTGTCATAGCAAGACAAAATACATATTGCAAAATGAATGGGCTGAGTATGTGTGGGACTATAGTATAATATCTGAACTCTTCTAGTCCAAATTTATGTTCTTTCTCAGCAAAGGCTTAAAAAAAGCTTGTGGGTCTCCTAAAACACTGACCATCCCCAGAAGCTTGGTCCCAAGGAACACTCAAACAAGCATTAAAATGAGAAATAACTACAATTATTGACACATTCTGGTGTGCTAAGCACCTTTCAAAATTCTCTTAGCCCCCTTGTGCAACTTCCTGTTGAAGAAACTGAGGCTCCAGGTTTGATTTGTGAACTTATTGACTTTATATATATTTATATACATAGATATAGATAGATAGACATGATAGATAGATAGATGATAGATAGATAGATAGATAGATAGATAGATAGATAGATAGATAGATAGGCAGACTGGCAGACAGGAGGCAGGCAGGCAGGCAGAAAGACATATAACTTACTGGGATCTTGGAGTGGGTAAGAAAATAATGAAATTAGTGTTTGGTGAAAAGAATAGAAAAAACACAGGGACAATGGAAACTCAGGTGTATGTGGGGTACCTGGGGTGGTGCCATCTTCAGTTTTCAGCAGTTCCTGCTCCTGGAAGCCCTGAGCAATTTTGCAAAGCTAAGTTGGGTCTCGTGGCTAAGCATGCCTCAATTCAGGAGCCTAAGGCAAGGGAACTGCTGTAAGATCAAGGATAGGCTATGGACTCTACTGTGAGATGCCATCTTGGAAAAAAAAAACAAAACAAACAAACAAAACTAAATCAAAACCCAGACCCAACAGAAAGAAAAACACAAAACAACTTTGCAAGGCTACTGTGAAGAGCTGAGGGGACAGAGAAGCCACACAAAGTCCAGAGAAAGAACAACAAAGGTGTCTCCAACAGGAATGAGGCAGCAAGGTTTGACAATCAATCATGAGAATTCCACTTCAAAGACATCAGAACATCAGAAGTGTCTTGTATATAAAGCCTGTGCTAAAGACACAGCAAAGGCCCATTTCAGTGCTTTTCCCCTGCTAAGCAAGAGTTACCCACATACTCAGCAGTCTCCTGGTCAGAGTGCTGCTTCATTGGGGCAATTACCAAGAAATTGATGTCATGCATTTTTATGCTTCCAAACAAAAAAAGGGAACAGGCACACCTGCCTCTCTTCAATGCACTTCACCCTGGACTTCCAGAAATTTTTCAGTGATTCTGTCAGCTTACACTGCCCTGATCTGCTGCTTCTTTCACTGGGAAGGATTAAGAGGCTCACCAGTGTAAAATACACTTGTGCTTTCTGTCCCCTGCTAATCACAGCCAATGAGACCTGATTTAAAGGATGCTGGATGTAAGGACCCTGAACTTGTGGGTTCATTGCTGAAGCAAGCTTCTGCTTTTGCCTGGTCCCTGAGGATCTCATTTGGTGCTTCTGTGGAGTGGAGGGACTGAGCTCCCATGGTGAACCATGGCTATGAATCCTCTGGGATTTGAAAGTAAAAAGCAAGAGTGATGGACTCCTCCTGCACAGATAAAGGAGCTGCTGGAGGCATGGATGGGAAGAGGTGTGTTTGATTGAAGAGAAGGTGACTTAGCTTTGGTTTTGAATCTGCATTTCCCAAGCAAGGAGCAGGCACCATCTGACACAGCCTTACTCTAAGGTCCATGAAGGTCTTGGAATGAAAATATAGTCAGAATATTTAAGGTTCTCAGGAGAAAGGTGCTGTTGATATGGAAAATAAGCCGAACTTTAAGGAAGATGGTGCTAAATATTTTCAGGAACCTTGGTGAGGAACAAATGGAAAGGGTCACACTGCCTGCTTCTGGATGATGCTGTCAGCTTCATCTTCTCTAGAGCTGAACTTCCAGCAGGAATGTGCAAACTGATAAACTGAGATTCCCATCAAGGACAATGATGTTATAAAATGTGATACTGTAATGAACTTCTTACTACCTGCTGCTATTGTGGTGCCAGCCACATGGTAGCTGTTATCATATTTGATATTCATAGTGACTACAAAGTAAAGGAAGGGAAGTGACTTCTTTAAATCCAGCAGCTGTAAATTGGAAGAGTGGCTGGCAGGACCCATGCATCTGCCAGGATCAGCACAGGAGTGTAGAGTGGATGGCTTGTTATATGGCAGAGTCCTGTTGAGCTCCTTGCTGTATAACAAAGATCCAGCAAGAAGATTCCACTCTATCTCCTATTAATCCCCAGAATGATGTCTGGTTCTGAGTCTCTTCTTGTTCTTGCTGCTGTTACTACCAGGATTTTCATGGTGATTTGGGCACAGGAGCAACACTAGCAACAAAAAGAAGAAACTCCTGATATGTAGCACTATGGATGGGACTAAGATTAACTTTAACTGAACTTCATATTCCAAGACTAGGAGACCATCTCCCATCCTGTTATTCTATAGGGTAAAAAGTAACAGTTATGGGGTCTGTGTGGTGGGTGAGGTCATTGATCATACCTGTCCATGGAGAGCTGAGCAACCAGGGTAACGTCCGTGTTGTCAGCAGCAGGCTCGAACTCATAGTGCAGAAAGTACAGGTGGGTTCGGTGGACAGTGAAGCGTTCTCGCCGGAACTCATAACACAAGTCATCCTCATCCAGCTCTGACAACTGCTTCTGAAGCTTCAAAGGAAGAAAAAGGCTTGGCGACAGGAGGAAAGGCACCAACATGCCCAGAAGCCTGCCTGCAGTTGTCTGTTGTTCCTGTGTTGATAGTTTAATGGAAAAGACTCCCATTTCATTTCCTGATCCATTACTCTAACATCAGAGGTAATCACAAAGGCAGGCACCTTCTCCATATGAGAGATGAGTTTTCTTGTGGCCAAGAGCCATGGTGATGCTCACTGACAAACAGACCCCACACAAATCCTTAAAAAAAAAAAAGCAGAGGACTTTCCTGGGCAAGTCAGTCAAAAGGTGGCTTCAATTAACCAAAAGAAGATACTTGTAGATGAGGAAATCCCAAGTGGGAAGGTTTCTGAGTGACCTGATGCTTTTGTCTTCGAGCTACACACTTCAATCTTTGGGTCAGGTACAGGAGAGAAGAACCAAGCAAATGCATTAATGTCACAAAACTCTTTCCTTTTATTTTTTTAAACCTAAATTTAGTCAGGGACAACAATTTTTTTACCTTTTCTAATGCTATGAAAGTCTGTCTTCATTAACAGGAAAGTATATTTAGTTCTATTCCTCTTTCCTTGCTCACCTAGTGAAAAGAGTAATCTAACCTGCTAACAAGGAGCTCAAACTTTGAATGGCTACAGGTGCCCAACCATTGCTGGTTAACCCCACAGCACTACTACCATGCAAATAATGGTGTCTGTTTAACAGACTAAAAAGTTGAAATCTCAAAGTACCTGGCAAAAAGTATCTATGACCTGGCAAAACACTAACTACACTGATGGAAAGGAATTAGTATATGTTGGCAGGGTGGGGTGAGTGGCCTGGATAAAGAGAAAAGAGCTACTGGGGTAATGGGAATGACCTACACTGACCTACTTGACCTACTGTGATTGTGATGTTTACCTGACTGCACACATTTGTGAATGCTCTGCAAGCTTGGCTTTGGGCAGAAAAGACTTAATGCATACAGTTTGCATTTCAATAAAATTAAACTTAAAAAATAATAATTTCCCAAGGGTTTCACAATCAGCTCTGATTTTTGTCCTCAGTCTTTTCTAACACACAATATCATACATTTCAATATAGATTAAAGTTTACGTGGCTGGACTTACTTGCCTGTCTGAAAGTAGTAGACTGGCTTTCAAAAAAAATGTGTCTTTTTAAAATCTCAAAACTGATAGCATAATTCACAAGAAAACACATTAACTGCTTCTCTCAGTATAGCGCTTCATCACTGAGTCCACTGTCGTGATACATTATGCCACTGCATTATTTCTCAAGAGAAATAATATGTGTGGCAGGGATAGTTTTACTCCTTTCTTCATTCCCCTCTCCAGCATGGCCTCACTCTGTACAGTGGTGCTTGCTAAAGCTGTGAGTCTGTTTCTCGGTCCTTGAAATCTAGGTTGAACTTGTGACAGGCTTTTGTTGCTAGAATTCAGAGGAAGCAATAACCTCCTATTCTGAGGCTAGACTCCAAGAGGCAACGTGTGGTTCTCTACTATAGCTGGGAGCCCATGTTCAGATTAGCCTGATGTAAGAGGACAGACACCTGTGCCCAGTACACTTTCCTAAGTTGCTCACACCATGTGAGCAAATCCAGCTAATCTCAGCAGAGATGTTCTAATAAATACTTCTTGTAGACCACTGAGGTACAGGTTATGAAAAATAGATAACAAACAGACTTTCATAGCATTATCACTTAATGGGGGGGTATGTACTCATTATGGGGCCTGACCAATCTAAGGACAGTTCAGCTCCTGAGTCCTGTTTGGTAAATGCTCATAGGTCCACCAGTTGGCCTTGTACAGATGCAGTCACATATTTCCAAATGCTCACTGGGCAGTCAGCTGAGATCTAATGACCCAAGACACTTCTGGCCACCTAATGTAAGACCAGGAGGTGGAATGGAATTCACACTTCATCAATGATTCTATGTACCACATGACCCCTTCTGATATGCAAAATTAGACCTAGATGTCTCTGGTGACAAGCACAGACAGCTGTGCTACCCATCACCTCAATCCTCTGCAGGATCTCCATTAGTGCTTCTCAGACTTGATTTCCCCTGCCTTTCTGTGACTTCCTTGGGCATAGCATTTTTCTCTCTTGGCAAAGCCCTTCCTCACTGGACTCTCTTCTACACTCTATTTTACTTTCAAGGTGGCATAAATGTTCCTTTTCTGCAAGACCACTGAAGGCCCTTCAGGACAGCTGTTCTGTTTCTCTCTAGACTTGAAGAGTTGCTCCCACACTCCATTAAGTACTTGTCAATTCAAACTGCAATTATTTAAAGACATCCCTTACAACATACTAAAATGCTCAAGGTTGCATGAACGAAAAAGATTTGCTAAGCACAAAATGAACACCATCACTGTGATGGCCTGCCCTACAATTTTCCTTTGTTTCCTCTAATTATATTCTTAGAAAGTAATCAATTAGTTTATTGTTAAGCCTATTATTTTCACTATCTGAATTCTGAACAAGTTTTAGAGAGTAAGCAGACGCATAGCAGATGCTCAGTTGCACAGGTACTCATATTCTTCTGGACACTCTTGGAGAGATCCTTGTGAACCTCACTTAACAGCTGAGAGAGCAGTTTCAAATTTGTGAGGTCCCTTAGGCAGGTCACACCTGGGTCCATGTGTATCCATCACTCTCTAGGGAAGATGCTAGTTTGGTCTCAGGTGAAGATTCTGATACAGTAGAGAGACTATGGTCACTGGCTGGATTCCCCCACCCCAAGGTGAGTGGGTGGCTTCTTATTAACTTTCCAAACTCAAGTAAAAGTTCGGGAGGGGGGCAGCAAAGTTAACTACAGGGGATGGTGGGAGATGCTACTTGTGCAGAGTGCAGGGCTTGGAGTGAGAGGATGAGTCATTCAACATCAACTGTTAATACCATTAGGAAAGAAACTAAGCCCCTGAAGACAACTTCAGGCAAGAGCCTAGGTTAGGGAGAAGGTTTAGGAGTTAGATGAGTCAGGGGATCTGTCTTCCTGATTTTATACATACATACATACATACATACATACATACATACATACATACACACAAACGTTAGTCTGTCTGTCTGTATGTATGTATGTGTCTGTGTATGTGTGTGTGTGCACATGTAGCAGATATCCTCAGGAGCAATTAACTAAGATTTTTGAGGTAAGGTCTCTCACTGAGACCTGGTGTTTGCTGATTTTAAAAGGCAGATCAGCAAGTAAACTATTGGCCTGTTTCTGTCTCCTTAGCACTATGATTAAAAGTGTATGCCACACACTTGGCTTTTTACATGGCTACTGAATCAAACTCATATCATGATGCTTGTATTGCAAGCACCCTAAGGACTCTTTTTCTGTCCCACTAGCTCCCAAATAATGACACAGAGACTTAATATTATTTATGAAAGCTCAGTCTTAGTTTAGGCTTGTCACACTAGCTTTTATAACTTAAATTAACCTGCTTTTATTAATTTGTTTTACCACATGGTTTTTTACCTTTCTTTCATTCTGTATGTCCAACTCCCTCCATGTCTTGTTGGCATCTTCTCTGCAACTCTTTCATCTCCTTCTTCCTCTCTTTCTGCTTGGAAGCCCCACCTATACCTTCTGCCTAGCTATTGGCCATTCAGCTCTCTATTAAACCAATCACAGCAATACATCTTCATACAGTGTTCAAATATCCCAACACAGCGGCATTTCCCCAGCCTGGTTCTCTTGATTATTTTTTAATTAAAATTTTTATTTTATTTTTTCAAGTGTATAATCATTTGCCATTTGTATAATCATTTAGAAGTGGTTTGAATTTGTTGTCTGTCTGTCATTCACCAAATCCTTGCCTTCCTAACTACTTAAGCCCTGGTTCTCCTACACTCGTGGTACCCTCGATAGGCCAGTCCGTGACATGCCTGCATGTATGTCTTTGCATCACATGAATGCTTAGTGCCTGTGGAGACCAGGAGAGGGCATTAGATCCCTCTGGAACTGGAATTGCCGAAGACTGTGAACTACCATGTGGGAGCTGGTAACTGAACTTAGGTCCTCAGGAAGAACTTCCATTTTTCTTAACAACTGAAGCCATCTCTCCAGTCCTTCTTCCTGATTCTTGAATGACAAAAATCTTGGAAAAAACAAAAACAAAACTAGAATATGCCTAGAAACCATTATGTTATCTCCCAGGAGGAAACTTTTATCAACTAATGCCTTCCTTCCCTCCCTTGTCCACACTGTAGTTGAACAGAGTCCCATTCAGAAAGGAAACATTTGCAAACTCTTTGAAGGAATGGGTTTGGCTTTCTCCTTCCTTGGTTTTACTTTGTGGCTTTAATGTGCTGATAAAGGCATATAACTTCTGCTGTTGTGGAGGGAAGGGAGGGCTATGTATGGATGTTTGTATGTGAGTTTGTGGAGACACACATCTTCCTTTGATGAGTTTTCAAACAAGTATCTTACTCTCTGTGGCAAGGATATTAGTGACAAGGCAGTCTTATGTATGGGGGTTTCACTTCTCTTTACCAAGGGAAAAGAATTGTCAAGTTAATGGCTCTATGAGATACTTTCTCAAGTACCCACAGAATGAATTCTAAAGGCAAGAGCTGTACCCTATTCAAATTAGAACCCCTAAACCCAGGACAACCCAAGCACCTTATAAGGTATACAAACCTCTGTTGGTATCAATGACTACTTCATGCTAAAAAAGGGAGTGGCCATGAAGGAAAGTGCCCCCCTCCAAACTACCAAGGTGTAGCTTGCTCTAGCAGGGAAGGCTGGCTTGCAGTTATAGAGTATATATGTACTCTTTTATGAAATTCATGGTATCAGTGGTTTGTGTCACACAGGTATGCTATGACACATCTGCCTGTGAAACTCTAGGGTACTCAATGTCAACTGAGTATTAATATTACCTTTACTATCGTTACCCTACACTGATATGCTGTGTGTTGGGTGTCTCTGGGTGCACTGCCTGGCATTTTAAATCCCTTAGCACACATCTCTTCTTCAAAGGAGAAAA